ATAATAAACATAATAATATAATAATATATTAGTAATATAATATTAAAGAAACAGGAGTAGCAGGTTAAGCTTCGCTGTGTTCCTTCGCTCATAGTCCTAGTTTCCACCGAGAGTTTAAACCGGATTAGAATGTAAGAACCAACTAACTACAGTCGAGTATTCTCCTGTTGCAGTCGAACGACAGGGGAATGTAGTTAGTTCTTACATTCTGATTCGGTTTAAATCTTTGATGGAAACTAGGTTAGTGTTGAACTATGAACTAAACTTCGTTCGCTATGCATTTTCGCTCGAATCGATGGAGTGGAGGGTCTTCGCTAGCGAAGCTTCGCTGTATGAAATGGCACTTTAATTTTTGGCGATTGCAGTGTTTCAAGGCTAAGGCTACAAAAAAGGAAGAAGTTTCTTGAGATTATTAATCAATCGACTACATTTTATCATTATTTTTTATATTATACGATAAATTAAGAAGTGAAACTGATATTTAAAGTGTAAATTCAAAGTTATAACATAACCTGTATGAACTGATGATTGTATGTAAACACGCATAAGTATTAAAATTGATCAATATCCATTATATTTATCTAGAATCGATATTTTTTTAAATCAAAATGATTATGAATTAATAATGAATTAATAATTAGTTCACAATATTTAAGTCGAGTAATTGGACAATATATAAAATCTGTTGTTACTTCTAGATGTATGTGTGTTAAAAAACGTGGAAACACTAAATAGTTTTGAAAATAGTTTGAAAAGTTTTGTTGCTTCTGCTTAGAAATATGTTTGCTCACATTCGACAGAAACTATTGTTTAATACAGTAGTCAAGTATGGTAAACAGAAAAAATATAGTATATCAGTTGTCAGCGAAGTCAGTAAAAGTGAAGCCAAAGATGTAGAACCAATATATCCATCCATTGAAGATATAAGCTTTAAAGCCAAGTGCAAAAGGAAAAGGCAAGCTTGGCATGAAAAAATCAAGAGCTTAGAAACTGTAGAGGAGAAGCTATTCAAGATTAATATGCCACGTTATTATGGCTGGAAGTCGCTAATCCTAAAGGAACATATTATACCATATAATTCTTTGTCACATGCGCAATATTTTACAAGAACACATATCATCAAGGAATTTGATCTGCCAACATATTATAATACTATAATTTCTACCGAACAATTAGATAGAATAGTACAATTAATCAAGAGTGACATAGAGGATAACATAATTTTTGAATATTGTATCAGAAGGTACATATTTCTGGGAATTGAATATTCTTTTCTTTATGATGTAAAATAAACTATAAACTATAATTAATTATCTAATTATTCACTATTAATTAATATATATGTGTTATTTAATATTTGAAAATTTTTCTTTTCAATATTAATATAATATTGCAGAAGAGAGCATGAAATAAAAGTAAATAAATTGCCATTGGATGAAAATATTAAGGCTTTAGACAGGAAAATAAACATGGAAGAAATTATATCTAAAGCATTAATTCACAGAATTAACAGAACGATGCTGATACATCTTACCTCTGAAAATCCACATTTATTACACACCGAAGTTGATTTTGAACCAAGATTAGAAACATCTTGGTTTATGGGTGGTTTAAACCCTCCTAATTTTGTAAGAAATTTCAGAAAATCTGTTAAATTTCTGAAGGAATTTGTTGATGACTCAGTAAATTTGCCTGTTCAATATTTTGGTCACCCTGTCATACATTTGAGACATAAGCATCCTCTACGACAAATTATTCCCTTAAGCGATTGCAAAAATTCAACTTGGGAAGTACCTACATTCAAATTGAATCCCAAGGTATTAACTTATACTCTTGAAAAAAAACACTTAACTAATATACCTGGATTTTGGCCTGGCGATGAAAATGAATTCGGACTTTTATCATATCATAATTGCACGTACTTGCAAACAAGGCCAGAAAAATATAATGATACATCTGTAGCACTCACAATACAGGCTATACTAGCATCTTATAGCTGGTTATTGTCGCAAGCCTGTTATCAAGGTACTTTTATAGTTTAAAGTTAGAGTTTAGATATTAATTTGAATTTCGAGTTTTACACGTCTATAAAATTTCAGGTTTCTCTACTTTTAATGATATCACGTATCCACTAACTACTCAAACGATTATAACAAATGGACAATGGTGGTCATTTTTTGTTTATCAACTCAATACTACTTTAGTGCATTCTGAGTACGCGGATGAAAATTCAAAGCGCAACATATGTTGGATTACAGAACCAATAAAATTATTTGATAAAATAGAAAATGATAAAGTTTACGGTTTAAATGAAGAAGTTCTCAAAATTTTAATTAAGTTTTACATGAATATTCCCGAAGAAAGAGTAGGCGTAAATTTAAAACCGTATTTAGGGAAATCCGTGAAAGTAATAGCAGACATAGAACATGATGAAAGAAGAAATTGGCTCGAAAAACAATATAAACATTTAGTAGCTAACAGGCCGAGGCACAGGTAAAATAAATATTAAAGTTACTTTAATAATTATATCCTTTTTACTATATTTTTAATGTTAACTAACTTAATATATAATAAAAGATAATTATATTTATATTTATTAATTGTTAATTAATAAATATTTTATTATTGTTTATTAATATTATATCTTTTTTTAGACGAATATCGGAAATATATGATTGGCAAAAAATCTATATTATTAGACATAAAACTCGTCCAATGGATAAGAAACGAGAACCTTGGGAATTTGGCATTAAAATGTACAAACGTACATTAAATGATCATCAACCGGTTTATATACCAAGACATTTACGAGAGAATCCCAAAAAGAGAAATAGAGGACGATGGGCAAAAACATACTATCCATAATTAAAACAAATAATTATATTGAATTAAATATAATAGCAATTGTATAAAAGACAATTATTAATTTTTATTGTACCATAGAACATACAACTTCGTATAACATACAATCTTTGTTTCTTTGTGAAAAGTTCAACACAAAGTGTGGAACAATGTTAGTTTTATGATTTTAGTTTGTAAGAAAAGTAAAGAAGACTTGTATATTTTTTTATAATTTGAATACAAATTTCTGCATTATTCTTGCGCCAAATACAACAATGTATTGAAAGACTTGGCAGGTAAGTGTACATTTACTACGTTGTTTTTGTTCTTATTTTTTACTGTTATAGTGAAAGCAGTGTAAGCTCTGCAATACAAAAATTCTAAATTATATATTTTAAGAGTCTATTAAATTGTTAAAAAATAATTATAGTAATTTAAAATAAAATAAAATAAGTAAAAAATTAATTTTTTTAAATAAAAAAATATAAAAAAGATTGTTATATATTTTTCTGAAAAATTTTGTTACATATAGAGTGCTTTCTAGCAAGGATCCAATCAGACATAGTGTAACATAGTGAATCATCCTTGTTGTTTGCCTACTTTAAATAAGGATGAAACGATTCATTATGTTACAGTGTCTGACTGTGTCCTTGCTGGAAAGCAATCATAATGTGACTGCTATAAATAATTAATGTGACGGTGTATAAAATATTTTCTACTAACTTATTAACAGCCACGACAACAATATATTGTTCGGGCGTCAAGAACGCTATCGTTTTAATGTTTGGATTGTCTTCAAGACCTGTAGATAGTATCCTGTAAGAGTTACGTGGCACAAATTGGCTAAAATGAGAAATTGCGTAAAACATAGGCTGCTTATAGAATTCGTCTGTTTGCGGCATTACGATGATTGGTGAATCCACATAATTTTTTGCCCAATTTGGTGCTCCATACTCATTGAGTGCCATATTCCAATCTATCCATCCAACCATCCAATGTGATAAATTCTAGAAATATAATTTGTAAATCTTATTATACACAATTCAAAATACTTTTATATATTACATATATGATTTATATTACTTTTATTTTTACATTTATTACATAATGAAAATACTTCATGCTGTAATAAAATTTCTTAATACCGTAAAACGGATTAACCAAATAATATATACTTTTCTAATTAAACTCCAGTGCTTTCAAAAGTTTTTTGTCATTTTCTAATTAAACGTAGTTCTTATTTCATAATTAAATTGGAAATGTTCTTTATATTAGGCAGATAAAATTAAAAACTAAATAAACGCATTTGGAATATAGATCATCAATTAATATCAAATATATGTACAAACCTCGATTATATCTAAGGCATATTTTTGTCCTCGTTCCCATGATCCTAATATTACTTTTTCTTTGTCTAAGGGACTGCTACCTATATAAGAAAATTTCATGAATTTTTTTTTTATAGATTTTTTAAGGAAAGATTCGTATGCGTGGAAGTATATTTTTAATTAGTATGATCTATGTTCTATATAATTAATTATACTTACCGGTGCATGCTTCGGTCATCAGTATAAACTTGTCTGGATATTTATCATGCAATTGAGTTAGTCTAAGCGGTGAAAACATTTCATCAGCGTACCAATGGACTGCAGTGCCAGAGAACAGTTCTTTAGTTTTTGGATACTCAAACATCAACTCGGTAAACCACGGGATTTCGAAGCGTTGATCGTCCATCGCTACGTAGAGAGGATTATATCCAGCATTAGCCAAAGTCGGAGCTAAATGTTCCACGGTCCAAGCCGCAGAAGTGGTGGGCGTCCAACCCATGGCATTGAAAGGGAAGAATGGGATAAATCCATCCAATGGTTCATTGCCAGGTGTTATGCCCCATATATTTATACCACGTTCCTTATATGCGTCAAAGAACTTTAGGATATAATCAGCGTAAAGTTGATAATATTCAGATTTTAAAGTACCTATCGAGATTATTATATGATATCTTATATTTAATTATTCTAGCACTTAGTACTTACTTAGACAACAAAAAATCTAAAATCGGGTCATAAGACGTTTTTTTTTGCGTCTAAAAGATGACTTAAAGACGTCTTATGTCACAATTTTGGACTTTGTGTTGTTTGGGTATCTATAAATAATAATATAAAGCAAAATATAATAGCTTCTATAAATAATTTGAGAGAGAGAGAGAGAGAGAGAGAGAGAGAGAGAGAGAGAGAGAGAAGACGAAAATATTGAATTAAATTAAATTTATTTTGGAAATAAAAACGTCTTTTTTTTATAGCATTGATAACATTAATGATATTGTTGTAAATCTGGTTTTTTTAAAGAGAAATGTTATCAAAATATTTATAGAGAATGAAGTAAAACAAATCACGAAATAAAATGGACCAGTTATTATCTTTTGTTTTATGAGTTTAAAAAAGATTTAAAAATTAAATTGTAAGGTTTATTTATATGTTATAATTATGTTATACCGTTTCATTCATACAAATATGAGTCCTTTTCTTATGCTTATTTTTCTTATTAAGTTGAATGAAACTCTTAATTTTTTCAATATTAATTTATAAAACAAAAATTCTTGATTTTTTCACTATTAATTCAACACGTATACATATAATATGTATGTAAATCTTTGCGTTCTTGGATACTTGATAACAATAACTCAAAATGACTGCGGATCCTTAACTGAAAGCTAATATCTTTTTTAGCGTTTCTTAACTGTTGAAAGTATTTTGAAATTGTTTTAATTGATTTTACATTTTGATACTATTTTTACGAAATAAAATTTTGTGCATTTAAATATTAAAGCGGTATTTGTTATTGTTAAAAAATACTTTAGAAACAAAATGTAAAGTTTTGATTTTAAATTAATCAGTTGATTTATTTTCTGTATCATTTTACTCTACTATATTTTACTCTCTGCCTATTTTATTATTATTATTATTAGGAGTATACATAATATTGTAATAGATAATATTGTAATAGACTTTTGTCTAAAGTCGATGCTCGCAAAGATTTGCACATTTCGCAGATTCCGGCGCTATCCCCACTATCGCTCGAGGCTCGGCGGCCGGGTACTCATGTGACGCTCTGGTTCAGGAGCGTCCCTGTAGCTTAAATGCGAAGGTAGTACCTTACGTTATTAAAGAATATTTTTCTTGCAAAATAATTTTTATTTTCTTAAAAAAATCAGAAAAAATCACTAAATTTTCTAAAATATTTTGTCATAATAATTCTTGCCTACCAGAAACTATTCAATAATTGTTATAAATTTATATCGAGAAGTTTCCAGAATAACTAATACATTTTTGTCATAATAATTCTTGTCTACTAGAAACCATTCAATAATTGTTATAAATTTATATTGAGAAGTTTCCAGAATAACTAACACATTTTTGTCATAATAATTCTTGTCTACCAGAAACCATTCAATAATTGTTATAAATTTACATCGAGAAGTTTCTATGACTGACTTGCGAAGATTGAAGTCAGGAAATACATGAATGTGGAAATTCCATGTTTTCCATACGAAATCTTACAAAGTCTCAAATAACGAGGATTCTATACTGTTTTCTTCTACAAGCGAATATAATTTTATTTTTATTGGGAGTACAAATAAGTTTCCGCCGTTTGCAAAAGACGGCGTCACTAATAAACTATAATTAAAATTGTTTGATGTAAAACGACACATTCCTTTGCTTTTGAATCATTCCCAATTTCAAACGATATGAAATTGTTTGTTGAGTCACTCCTAATATAAGTGCAAGTTCTTTTTGTGTTTGGCATGAATCTTCATCCAATAATGCTTCCAATTCCGCGTCTTCGTACACTTTCGGCCTTCTGCTACGTTTGTCTTCGACGTTAAATTCACCGTTCTTAAACTTTTGAAATCACCATGACAACTTCTCTCATTTAAGGCAGCATCACCATATGCTTCTATAAGCAATCTATGAGCCTCAGCTGCAGATTTTTTCAAATTAAAGAAGTAAATCAAAATTCCCGCAAATGACGCTTATTCAGCTCAAAACTCGACATTTTCGTACAAAAAAAAGTAAGATTGGACATCCGGCAACATCATAACCTTGAAATATTAGCGATTTTGTATCAGCATCATATACTTTTTTTTGTACGAAAATGTCGAGTTTTGAGCCGAATAAGCGTCATTTGCGAGAACTTTTGATTTACTTCTTTAATTTGAAAAAATCTGCAGCTAAGACTTATAGATTGCTTGTAGAAGCATATGGTGATGCTGCCTTAAGTGAGAGAAGTTGGTGATTTCAAAAGTTTAAGAACGGTGAATTTGACGTCGAAGACAAAGAACGTAGCAGAAGACCGAAAGTGTACGAAGACGCGGAATTGGAATGCATTATTGGATGAAGATTCGTGCCAAACACAAAAAGAACTTGCACTTATATTAGGAGTGACTCAACAAATAATTTCATATCGTTTGAAATCATTGGGAATGATTCAAAAGCAAGGGAATTGGGTTCCATATGAACTGAAGCCGAGAAACGTCGATTTTTCACATGTGAAATGCTGCTTGCTAGGCATAAACGAAAGGGTTTTTTGCATCGTATAGTCACTGGTGATGAAAAATGGATTCACTACGATAAAAAGAAGAGGAAATCATGGGGATCACCTGGCCATGCTTCATCGACAGCCAAACCGAATATTTATGGAAAAAAACTCATGTTGTGTATTTGATGGGATCAGCTTGATGTCGTGTATTATGAGTTGCTCAAACCGAACGAGACCATTACTGGGGCTCTTTACCGAACACAATTGAGCCGAGCATTCAAGGAAAAATGGCTCCACTACTCCAGGCATGACAAAATTATTCTCCTGCTGATAATGCTCAATCACATGTTGCGGCGCCGGTCAAAACCTACTTAGAAACACTCAAATGGGAAGTTTTACCCCACCCGCCATATTCTCCAGACATTGCTCCTTCCGACTATCACTGTTCCGATCGATGACGCATAGCCTGTCTGAGCAGCACTTCACATCATATGAAGATACCAAAAATTGTATCGATGATTGGATCCTCAAAAGATGAAGCGTTCTTCCGACGTAGTATCGACATGCTACCAGAAAGATGGGAAAAAGTAATGGCTAGCGATGGCCATTATTTTGAATAAAATATTATGTACCGTTCTTTCACAATAAATGCTTAATTTTTGATAAAAAACGGCGGAAACTTATTTGTACTCCCAATAATTTTATTTATTTTAATTAAAATCTAAAAAATAAAGAATTCATAAAATCCTCGTTACTTGAGACTTTATAAGACTTAATAAGTATGGAAACACGGAATTTCCAGATTCACGTATTTCTTGACTTCAATCTTCGCAAGTCTGTTATAGAAACTTCTCGATATAAATTTATAACAATTATTGAATGATTTTTGGCAAGAATTATTATGACAAAATATTAGTTATTGACAAAATGTTTTAGAAAATTTAGTATTTGATTTTTTTAAGAACATAAAAATTATTTTACAAAAAAAAATATTCTTTAATAATATAAAGTATGATCTCCGCACGTTTAAGCTATAGAGATGCTCCTAAGCTAGAGCGTCACGTGAGGGCTCGGCGGCTCGGCCCGAGCGGTAGTGGGAATAGTGCCGAGTTCGGCCCGAAATGTGCAAATCTTTGCGAGCACTGCTATAATTAATCTTTTCAAAATTTTAATAAAGTATAAATTTTCATAAATTTTTTAAATTCAATATTTTAGACATATAATAAACACTTTAAAGCTTTTTAGTGTAAATTTTTTCCTGGTAATGCAGGATATTGTCTCATCTAACATTTCTTTACCCCAAGTTATACTTTTAGAATTTTTCATCCACGCAGGCGCGCTCCATGCAGTCGTTATGATTTTAAGCTCATCAGACATAATATTTTTGATATAATGTAGATATTCGATTTTGAAGTCATCTTCCTCCACAAGTTTGAAATGACTTAACGTAAAATCATTGGGTACGTCGTCATATGTATATGGTCTCGTTGAGAAATCGGTACCTGCGATAGGTATACGAGTAAACGTGTATCCGATACCGTTGGAACCAAAATACGACCTAGAAGTAAGAATAATTATACATGAGAAGTTATCATCGAAACGGATGAAAACCAGTTAGATAAATTTATGATAATTTTATAAAATCTTATATATTTAATAGATAAATAAATAAATCATTTTACCCTAAGAATTGCTATGTTTCAAATTTTAGTAGCAATTAATGCACTGTTCGATTTTAGTATAACATAAGAAGTATCTTATTTTCTACTAAAGAATCTTAATGATGTTTTTAATTTGTTTCTATTCTATCAGTCGAAGAGAATAATGAAATTCCATTCCTGTTACCAAGAGTAGAATTAATATGCTTTACTTGAAAAATTATTCTGTAAATATTTATAGAATTACATTTATTAATTAATAT